TGAAAGGAAAAATTACAGATTTCCAGTCAGTTAAATATGAAGAGTCTAAATATTTTCCAAAGTATTACAAAAGTAGTTTTGTAAATGTTTACTTGCATACCAGATTTCCCATCTGGTAGGTACCTCCTTAGGTTGGACTCTGATACATACAATTAAGTTTTCTAACCTAATGTAAACCTCTGATATATCTTACCCTGCACTGACTGCATCTTAAATTGATCCTAATCATAACTGCAGCAGAAAGGAGGTTAAAATCGTAAATCCATCTGTATAATATGTATACTTTTATTAAAACATGTATTTGTGTGACTTCAGGTTTTATATCCTGAAATGTTCATTATCCTGAACTGTTGCCAGCAGCCCCATACCATAGATCACATAGTGCATTCAGATCACAGGTATCAGCTGAGGCTGTTGTAAATATGGATGAGAAATTCTGCTGCGTTGAATTTAGTCTTCTGTGATCATCTGGCTTCCAGCTAGTGATACAGCAAGGGAAAGTAGTTCATTGTAGAGAGAAAAAAAAAATTAAACCTTTCAAAGGGTATAGATGCATAAATATTACATCTAGAGTACAGACTGCTGTAAGAGTGTGGACCAGCAGTCTTTAAAGGGCTGAGTCCTGGGATTTTTGCCAGGAACCGAATTTTGCTGTTCTGGAGGAGGAAACCCTTCCCTCTGCTGGTGCAAGTCAGAGGAAACTGTCAAATTGAGAAGAAAAAGTGCTACAGGAATAGCAAAAGGTAGCATATGGAGTCAGGGACCAGTTGAGGTTGGCAGGGAGCTCTGGAGGTCATCTGGTCCAACCTCCTGTTCCAGCTGGGCCACCTAGAGCCTGTGGCGCAGGCCTATGCTACGTTATGCCATACTGTGACATGTTACAGTATATTACATCATACTAGGTTATGCTGTAAGAATCACACATTTTCCTTTGTATTCTCTCTTCAGAGCGATGGATGACACAAAAGTTCTGTCATCTGGCTTTTCAGAGGAGGAGAGAAAAACGTCTGCTTTTTTAAACAGTAAAACTACCGGAAGCAGTAGAGGTACCTTAAGCCTTTTGTAATGGACAGGAAAAAAAGTAAATTAAATTAGCTGTACTGTGGCTTACACACCTGATAACCTCAAGGACTTTTCTTCAGCGGGCTTTCTGCAGGAGGCAGGGCACACCTGTACTGAAGGATGCTCTGCAGCACTTGAATGTCATTTACACTGTGCCCTGCCCCCTGCTCCCATAGCTGTCAGACTTTGTCTCCCTTCCATTCTGTACCGCGGGGGCAGGGATAGCAGTTTAGAGATCTACAGGGAAGTAACAGTGGATTTTATCCCTCGTTTTATTTAAGGACTTGGTGTGATCCATGTAAATTTTCTGTCTGTGGTCTATATAATGTGTAACTGTCACATATTACAATGGCAAAACCAGTAACGGTATGTATATGTGGCCTTTATTTTAACAGATTCTATGGAAGGTTATCAGGATTCACCATATCCAGAAATTGATTATTTTGTTCGCTCTTTGGTTAATAAAGATGGAGTACAAGGAGGTAAAGACCACTTTACTGTTTACAAATGAGTATTCTGCAGCAGTGTTTTCAAAGAATTCATTAATTTCACCACCTCACCCACACCCCCAGGGATACGGCGATGGAATTATTTCTCTCTGGAAGAAATACTCGTATATGATATTTCTGGTTACCGTTGGTGTGAAAATATTGGAAGAGCTCACAAAAGTAACAACATAATGTATGTTCTTTAACTATTCACTTTAAAGCAGCTTTATTTATTTTCCTGCTCAACTATTAATTATATAAAGATGCTGAAAAACTCTTATGGATAGAATCAGCACCTATTACAATTTCTGCTCTCTTGCTCTGTGGGGATACAATGGGGTTTTTTAAAAAAACAAAACTTTTTCTCCCCTAAATTTACTTTGTGACAACTGAACTTGAATTTCTAATTTTCATTATATAATTTTCTATTATTCTAATATTCTTCATGCTATTTAAACCATGTGCCTGAAGATACTAACATACAAGTCAGTATGTTAAAGTTATTAAAGTGTCACTGCACTTTGCTTCTTAGCTAGGAAGCTGAGCAATTGGGAATAAGATAAAAGAAAACAGACAATTTACAGTGCACCTTAAATAACATTCTTATGTCATTAAAATGACAAAGATAACTCCTGCCACCACCTTAGTTAAGATGAGCTTTGCTAGTGACTCTGCAAGTACTTGGATGACTTACAGTTTTAGCAAAATAAGCGTTGAAAAGTCAGGTTTTCCAGATGACATTAGAATTGCAGTATATCGTTAATAGAAATATTTTAACTAAAAATAATTCTATATAACTTTTAAAATAACTGAAGGATAAGGAATGTGGTTTTGAGAAGCAAGGGTATAAAGAACAAACAGCAACTATGCTAGATGAACTTGGTTTTCTCAAGCAAGTTGCTTGAAGCTTGGTGTTTCTAAAGCACAGCTGGAAAAGCTGGATTGTCTTATGAGTTGATAGGAAATAGTGATTTTATCTGGCTTTTATAGTAAAATTATCTGTAACAGCAGCAGCAACACATCTTACAGTTAGGTCCAATACACTAACCTTACTTTAATGACTTTTTCTTCCAAGGTTTATGTTACAAAGTTGACTAAATTTCACTTTTGAATGTTAGTCTTAAAAGAAATATATTTTTAAGTAAAGAAGCCTGAAGTTTATTGAAAAAAAACATAAAACAAGTATGTAACAAGTATGTCAGTGTATGAAAGCAATATCCATAGATGGGGACAAATAAAACTTTTAGTGTCAGTTTCCTACTGTATGCATTCAGTTCATTTATGTGCTGTTACTAAAAACTGTATTATTTCAATCTTAGGATTCTGGTAGATCTAAAGAAGGAAGTTTGGTATCAAAAGTGCCATGATCCAGTCTGCAGAGAAAACAACTTCAAATCACAAAGTATGTATTCTGTGATTTCAAAGCAATGATACTTAATACTTTTTGGAATGTTAACTTTAATTAATGCCATGTATTTGATTTAGGTTTTCCATTACCAACTAGGATATGTCTCCCGTTTCTTTTCAAAGAGGTATGTTTTTGTCCTCTTGATATGCTAAAGTTCAAGAGAGTAAAGCTGTCTCTGGAAGTCACTGGGAATCCCCACTAACAGAGTCTGTTGAGCTCCATATAGTAGTTACACTGGTATAGAATAGCTCCCAGAGCAGTTGTGCTGGTGCACTAACTCAAAACACAGTAATATTTAAGTAAGTTCTCCATCAGCAAATCTAGCACAAACCCTGGTAAAGCTAAGTTACTTGGAATAGCCTAACTTCCCCTGGGACTAAAGACTTTCTCCTGTTTTGGTATGAACAGCAGTTCCCAGTGCATAAACCACAAGACCACTGCATGTTCAAACTGCCCCAGTTAAGCTCTGCTGTGCATGCTTGACTTCATGCTGGGCCAGCTAAAAAGTGGTCCTGGAACACAGGAGTCAAGAGTCACACTGAAGTCAGTGACTTGAATCTAAGTGTCTATTTTAGTGTGTTAAAGCAGTTATGTTTACCCATACAGGTAGAACATTTAAACCAACCTCATACTGCACCTAGATTCCAACTAGTTTTTCCACTGAGTAGGCAATGAGAGTTGGCACAACTTATAAGTTTACACTTTTAAATTGCATAGCACAGAATGGCACTTTAAGCTCTACTTAAGCAGATCATCAATAGCTTTTAGTGTTATTTCATAGGAAGTATAATATAAATGCATTTTCAGATCCTGATGGTATCTTTAAACTGACACTGAAATTAGTTTTAACCTTGTATTATTATAAGAAGCTGTATACAACAGACTACTTGTAGCTTGCTAGAGAAACAGAAAATTTCTATTCCTATTAATATAGGCTTCCACAGGTTGATGTGGCTATAAATGAACATGCTAGAAAATCTGTCCTCTTGGCCAGCTGTCTGTAGTATCCATTACATGTAACAGTATGAGTTTCAAACTTTCAGATCAGAGCAGTTAAAAGTATGAAGACCATTTTCATATGGAATAAGTAGTATTCTCATTTCTAAAAGGAAGAAGAGGAAGAAGGGGGGAACACAGAAGGAAAAGTAAAACTACATTCTAATGTGTTGGATTTGTCAAAAAGCTCAGTATCTTTAGAAAAAAGCTTGTCTCAAGACTTCCAGTTGTCAGACAGTGAGTGGGACAATACAAGTGATGATGCCAATTTCCTAGAAGCTACTGAAGATGTGGAACTAGCTGAAGCTGCAAATGATAGTCTGAATTATGCTATGGAAGAAATTCCTGATTAAGTTCTTTTGGAAGCCTTAAGGAAACAGGACGCTTGCAATGAAGGCAGCAGCTAGCCACCAACTTGGCTAGCAAAGACTGCTAGCGGTGACAGTTGCATATTACTGCAATGTAGTTCAGAAGTGCTCTTCCAGAGCTGTCAGGCACTGAACTGAGTATCCTCACAACAATGATCTTCAACAGGCATGAGGAGATCACAATTACAGGGGGCTGAAGAGTACTGGACTGAAAACTAATCATAAATGCTGCTCCAAGTTTAGCGCTTTTAACTCTCTGCTGTGTGGTTTCTGTTTTGTTAGTTATGTCCAAGTTTTACTGATAAGCCAAGCAAAATCGATTACTTTCAGAAATGGGAGAAAATTATTTATTTCAAATACAAATTGAATAAAGAGATTTGTTTATCGATAGTTCAACTAAAGTCTGTGTGTTCTCTTTTAAAAGTATATATTACTTTCAAGATCACATTAATAGCCCAAGAGTACAAACCAACATTGCTAACAGAGCACAGAAAAGTCTTACTACTTTAACTGGAATTGCTATTTCATTAACTGTACTGACATTCTGAGTAAATTCTCACACAGGCTATTTGACAATAGAAAGATACAGTCACTGATTAAACTACTGACTTTTAAACATTGAAGCAAAATAGAGCAAAAATGATTAAACAAACTTTAAGCACTGACCAGTCTTTGTTCCTAACAAATGTCAGAAAGACTATTAACGCTTAATGTTTCTTTGATAACTTCCCTCTTTGCACAGCCAGAGCTTCTTCTAGTTTCTTATTAATATTCTGAAAGTGTCTTTCTGCTCCTAGAATTCTCTGAGACTCCACCAGAAGAGCAGGGAGGCTGGAAGTTCCATACTGTTGTTAAGGAAATAAAATGACAAGGTGTCGTTTTTAATTATTGGAAAAATCACTTACATACCTGTATTTTTCCTCTATCTGAAATGGTGCAATGTGATTTTTAAAAGTGAAGAACAGCCAACATTGGGAACTCTTCTGAAATGGTAGGATTTCCCTTAACACATGGCAGGCACGTCGCATTGTCAACAGAAAATACTGCACCAGGTCATGAGCCACAGCGTCTTAGTTCTAAGACTACATGAGAAGTTACTCTGGTCATGAAATATAAGTGTTGTTCCCAGCATTCAATACCTTACAGAACAGACACATAAGTACCAGAGCTCTCCCTACCTTTGAACAGTAAAACCAAAAAAAACCCAATTACTTGCTTCTGCCTGTTAATATTTCTTCAATTTCTATAAAAAATGTTAGACCTGAGGACAACTGTTACACTTCTATGTCCTTTGAACTCCTGGACATAGACAGCAAGGTAGCAGAATCCTCCCTTGTAATACTTCAGTTTCTAACATGAGATCAAAAACCCGAGATACCACAATAAAGAATGATTCTCAGGTTGCTTCCACAAAGACAATTAACAAGATATTGCTATTTAGTGTAAGTTAAAAGTTTAACATTAATGCCCATCAGTCCAGGAAAGAAAGAATGGTGGGGGGCTGATCCAGAACAGTTCAGAAACATACACAAAATAAATACTTACTACCACTTTTTCTTTTTGGTTTTCTTCTCTATAATGCAAACACTCTTGCTGTAGCTCCTTTAAATCAATAAGTAATTCAGTTGCTTGCCTCAAGGAAGATTTCCTTTCTTGTACCTCAGCATATTCTCTTTGTAGTTGTATCAGTTGTGCTTCAGCTCTGAAAAAGATCAAGGCTTTGATGACTATATCTGCATATTTATTAATGAGTAATTATTTCCTCTGAAGGCTTAAGGAAAAGGTTGATCAGAAATACAAAACCATAGGTTAATATACTGTTTAATTAGAATAACCACCATATTAAACAGGAGCATGGGTCCAAATCAACAAAAAGCCCCAAACATTTCTTCCACATTTCTCTTTAAGAGTCTGACAATATAGCCATTCTTTCTTAAGTTTTTCAAGTGAAGTACCTGGTGTTCTGCACACACCTGCTTGCAGGCTGAGGTGTTCAGTGCTTACACTGAAGCATACTCAGGATATACAAACTACATATACCTCTGCCTAAGTAAGTGGAAGGGCTCAATCCATTAAAATAGCACTCCAGGAACTGAACACCACCAGCCATTTTCGTTTAACAGGGTTGCAGCAATAAAAACTTTCTTAAGGTGATCAAAGGATTAAAATACAACCAAAAAATATGAAGACAGCTTTCAATGTGTGAGGGGGTTCAAACCCATATTGAGAGATGCCTTTAATTAGTTCTTTGCGTGAAGTTTGTCCATAGTACTCTAAGAAACCCAAAACTCTCATGGCCATACTTCAGAAAGGGCTTTTAATCTGCCTTTGTGGATCCAAACCCACGGTTCCCTACAGCATTAACTTACAGCATGTACATTACATGCAGCTTCAGTATAAAGCTTGTCACTAGTAAGCAGCTGACTTGGGGAAGTCTAATCGTTCTTCCAAAGAATAATTTCCGTGTTGTGTATCTACATGGCATTAAGATTAATGCCAAGTTAGAGAAGGGGAACTGTGTAGCCACACGAGACAAAAGCAAACCATGTATTCAGAGGCATCCCTGACAAGCTGCAGGTGAAATATATTCTCCCACCTCAAAACGAAAAAAGCCCTCTGTATCACCTTTGTAAATTTATGATTCATCACCTTTGCAATTAGAGTTGTAAATTAGTGCTTTTCTTATGAACGTATGGTCTGTAATACCATCCCAGGAACTAGTTAGCTACGAGAACTTGCAGGAATGACTAGACAACTGAAATACAGAAAGGAGAGGTTATATCCTGATCTTTTGTAAAACCAGAAAGCAATACAGAAATAGAGTTTCATCAAAATAAAGAACAAAGAAAATTACTTTCATTTCTGAGTTACAAAATACCAGACTTCTTAAGTTCTTCAGGCTATTATTGTGCACCATTAGAAACATACCCAATTAGCTCTTCTCTGAGTTGCAACAGTCTCTGCCGTTTCTTTTTGATGTCTGTTATTACCTGAAACAAAGAGTGAGGAAAGTCTTTGAAACGGTTTCTGTAACTTCAAAGGCAAACAACTCAAATTTCATTGGCTTTTTTGCTTTGAGGTTTTATGCTTCTGATTCTGGGTGTGGAAGATTGCAAGATACCAGACCTTAAACACTGACATATTCTACATCTGTATTTTAAACACTTTGAAGCTCATTAAAATGTCACACTCTCATCTCCATCCAAAATTTCTCTTAAGGAACGTTGGATTTACAAGCATAAAAATGCCACAAACTCATTTTGTAACTCAAACATCTCTAGAAGGTTTTGGTTGGTTCCGTTTTTAAAAAGCAGACTAGTATGAATGTATGTTCAGTATGATCACCATAACTAAGGAACTAAGCATAATTAAGTTTTCTTTAATACAACATCCAATTTAAAAAAAAACCCACCAACCGAAAACTAATCATAAATTTAACTTTAGCAACTACAAATCTGATTTTAAACAAATGTATAAGAGGCAAAATAAGTTAATTGAGTGGCTGTGAATGCTAGATGTGCATTTAAAGTTTTCATTTTGCATGCAGAAGAGCTTACCACATCACCTCCAATTAACAAGACTTTAGCACATTAATTGCTACCTCCCAGAACAAGCTTTCTGTTGACTTCACTTGTTAAAAGCTATTTTGTCAAAGTTTGCAGGTGATGTTAATCTGGGCAGAAAGCCTCTGGCAGACAGTGCCTACCTGCTCTTAAATCTCTCTGCTGTAGGGCATTCACCTCTCCTAATGAAACCACCGCAATGTTTTGCTGCTCTTACGCTATCTCCTCCTCCTGTCAACATTCCCCTGTTGCATTTTCAGTTAATTACTACTTGCTCTGAATGAACAGAGGAATTGCCTTCCTCTGAACAAAAATGCTGCATATATTTAGGGAATGCAGCTCCTTAGACTCCTTTAAACTAAGCAGTACAATTCTATCCTCACAGGTCATCATCTTTGCTGCTCTCCTAGATTTTATATTCATCTGTTTCTGGAAGGTTAGCTCTCAATATTTAATTGGCTCTCCAGAGGCCTCACCAGTGCTCAGAAGAAAAAAAAAAAAAAAGTCATTCACATGCATAGATACCTACACATCCTCATGTGCTTTTTACACCCATACACCAGTATACATATGGAGTTTGTGATCTATCATATTTACTCAAATCTTCGCCAGAAAACCTCTGGTGGTTCCCTGTCCTCTATTTGTGCAGTTGATTCTGTAGTACTGCACACTTTTTTTGTGAATTATTTTATTTCTTCTAGTCAAATTTTTGAAATTTCAATGCCCACCTCTGTATGCTGTACAATCTAGTGATATATATGTATTTACCTTAGCATTTTTTTTCTTCATATTCTTTAATTCCTGGACTTCCACTATCTACAAATGAAAAGAACAATTACAGATTGACTAGGGATCTTGATTTCCTTTCTATTCTAAAAACATGGTTGCAAGAATTACTTTGGAATAACATAAAAAGCTATTTTAAAAAAAATCAACACCGGTTCAAAGGAAGATTAAAAGTGTATCAGTTGTGTGTCAATTTTTTCCTCTCTCCCCATGCCAGAGGAAGACTGTTGCATAAAATTCGTCACTTTGCACCAGTTAGAGCAAGTAATGCTCCTTGTATCAATTAGTGTAATATTACCTAGCTTATTTTTTCTATAACTTTCTCTAAAATGCATAAATCTAGTCATTTTAAAATTTGCTCATTCTAATGAACCATTTAGAACTATAGTTTTAGTACTTATCCATTGTACTTACCAGAACTCCTACAAAGTTCTGAGTTTATTTTACTTCTTGTAATTACTAAGAAATCTTAGTCTTCCAAGCTAATAAGCTTTTTACAGTTAGGATCAAAATGTTAATTAAAAAAGGATTATTTTCCCTTAGTCAAGCCTCTACACAAGTCACTGACATGCAGTATAAAGATTAAGTCATCAACCTTTTAAAACTCTAGTCCATAAGCTTTTAAAACAGTGTTTGACATAACTGTGCATTCAAATTATGCAGCTCTCCACTTTTACTACATAATGCTTTAGACATGACAAAGGCTTCAGGATGATTAGATGCTTCCTTTTCCTCAAAAGCTGACAATTTTGCAACATACTTGCGTGACAGCCATGTTGTGTCTAAAGGCAATTCCCATGAAAGCCAGCACAGAGGCAGCAAATCATAACCTGCACACAACAAACTGTGCTTTCGTATTATTTATCCTGACAAGAGATTAGAAAATTTAAAGTACCATAAAATAAATGTGTAAAGAACAATACAAAACCAAAAGCATTTTAACTACAATGTAATGTACAGCTCTACAGTCACTACCATAAAATTGATTTTATTTATGGTGTACTTACAAGATCAGTGATTTGGTCCTTGAAAGCAGAACAGAAGCCATTGATAGCTTTTCTGCAAATGTTTGATTCTATGCTTTGTCTGGAGAAGTCAGAGGGACAAAACACAACCCATTTGGTTTAGTAAGGAGAAATCTCATTCAAAACTAGTCCTTTGAGTAATGAATAAAACCCAGTGTTAAGCAGCTAGTAGCACAGGCAACTGCAGATCTTTCATGTACTTGCAGTAGCTTTATTTCTACACTGAAAAAAATGTCAGCTGAGATGTGTTGTTCTTACATTTGCAAAAATATCAAATACCTGGAGACCACCTCAAGATCACATATGAAAAAATATTTGAATCACAGAAACCTAATAATCATTAAAATAACATCAGAATGTAACCATGCAATACTGCATTCCCATAAGGACAGCCCACCAGCAAAACCACATGTAATATTATTTTTTTTTTAACTTTTGAGTATTCAGCCATAAGAAAGCAAAATATTTACCTGTAATTTGTTGCTATCTTCTCAAATTCAGTCAGAACAACATCCAGTTCTGTAATGTCTCTAGGAGATCTCTTCAGTTCTTTGGGGCCCCAAACCTGTATAGAACATGGGCTATCCACTGAAACAACAGAATGAAGATAAGCATTGTACAATTCAGGTACATGTTCTAAAGCAACAGAAAAATTATTATGCCCGCTATTAAAATAACCATCTAAAAATTAAGAATATGAAACTCGAGAACCAGGATATATGAATTATTTCATCTGTCTTTGGCTGAGCAACTATGATAGATTTATCTGGGAACGTTTTAGAATTTGGATGATCAATCAAATACAACTTATTTCTTATTCTTCATCATTTCAACCAAGTCCAGGAGCATGTTAGTAAAGTAACTAATAAAGTGCACAGTGTACCCTAGATATAGCTATTTGTGCTGTAAAAACTAGTAGTCCGAGTTTGGGCAACCTGCATTACTCAAGGAATAATGAGTTGTTATATTTGTAGACGTTTTGTATTAATATCTTATTTTTCCAAAAAAAGCTATATACAAAGATGTTCTTTAAACTTCACAATGGTATTATTAACTAATTCCACAAGAAAATTAATCCATGTTTCTTCACACACTCCCAAATGTAAATCTTGTACTTGAATGTGATGGGGTACTGTTTCAGAAAAATGCCAGTCTCGAAGCTCCCTATCTCAAAGGTCTTCACAGTAAGAGCTGTGCCTACACTGTAAGTCGGGGGCACTCAGAGTTCTGTCCCACAGCTGGTGCTCCAGGCCTCCAGACCAAGGGATGCACTGAACAGTCTTACAGCTCCCTGCTCATGGACCCAGGCTGTGTGTGAGGGATAATGCACACTTGTGCTTTACCCCTTCAGGGGAGCAATATGCAAGTCCAGGGATGCAGACCACAGGGATCAGAGCTGTGTGGCACACCAGCCCCTCAATTTAACCATTGCTAATGAGTGTCTATACCAAAACTCAAACTAAAACCTCCCATTTCCAGAAGCAATATGTTGTTGCATACCAGAAACGAGAACTACTGAAAAGCATTAATCTGGAATGAGGAGAAGCTACACAGAAGTTTTGAAGAGGCTACCTTACCAGAAGGATCAGATGTGTTCTCTGAAGGCCGCTTCTTTTTCGCCTGGAATTGAGTAGTATTCAGAGCCTTCTGTGATATAAAAAGCAGATTAACTTCAGAAAAAAAACCCTAGGTTTACTTATTTAAACTTCCGAGAGATGGCAATTAGGCAGAATGCAGGAAAGTGCTTCCTGACTGAAATGTCAGTAACATTCACTTTGGCCTGTTTCGCCAGAACCACAGCACAGTGGTCACACTGGTGAGAGTGCAGCTGTCTGACCGCACGGACCAGCTGACAGCCACTGGCCATGCAGCAGGAGCATGCAGACCCTCGGTTCAGCATAGTTACTGCCCAGTATTAACAGTTCACTGATCAACTGCGCCTGCTCACCTTCCTTTTCAGCCATGTTCTGTCCCAATTCTTTCTCTCCTTTGACTACTTTGTGACACAAACAGCACTTCTACAAGAGCACTGCATACATGCAGTTTACTGGTGAAAGACTAACAGCCCACACTAAATTTTACAGCACAATATTCAATAATTCCAATAAATTTCAATACATAAAAAACTTTTATGCTAACTACTCTATTGCTTCTTTTATCATAGGCCTACATTCTCACGTCTGCAGATAGTTAATAACATCCTCTGTTTGCCTGGAAGCTAAGTGGGCCAAAAGCATTTTACACTCACCATGGTCTAAGTGTGGAAAAACTCATTCAAAAGTGTTTTTTGTTTAATTCTAATATGTATTCAAAATTAATTTTATCAATACAGAATTCATTTCTCTCAAATATGTTTTAGTTCAATACTGAACAAGTACAAAGGATTTACACTCCATTTAGTATGCCATTCTTTAAGAACATACATTCCAGATATGGAGAAGATATTGAAAGAAAAGAACATACTCCCAAATGAGCAGGAGAAATGGCTCCTGGATCCAGGAACACCTGGCTATTATATTGCCCATTGACATGACGACTGTAGCTTTAAACTTTTCACTTGGCCATCTCACAGGAATACTTTGAGGATTAATTATTTCAGATACAGTTAAGCACTAACAAACAAATGAAAGGTCTTCCTCTCCCCCCCGCTCTAATGCAGGTATGGTATGAAGTAAGTTAAATTGACTGATAATACTCATGGAACTTTTTCTGTACCACGTTCTTCTTAAGGGGTTCGTCTTCAGGATCAGCTGTGTTGCATTTCTGAACATCACCAGCAGCTGGTTTTGTGCAATATGTTTTTTTACTAGGAAAAGAAAAATATCCACATGGAAACCCACTGCACACTGAGAAAGAATGATCTTCAACAACATACACAACAAAATCCTGTGTTTTGGGGAACATTTTGTACTGATATGTCATTTAGTCTGTGTTTCCTAAATGGACTACATAAAGATTTGCAAATGGCATATAGAGGGAACAGAATCTTTATCCCTCAACAGCAACCCTCACAATTTAGAAATCTAGTACTAACTGACCACTGGGATAGCCATGCTGTTACTGAGCAGAAACTTCAAAACAGAGTCAAAATTATCATTGAGGATATTTTATCAGGAATGGATAAGGCTTTCTTGGTGGGGGGCGAGGCTGGAAATCGAAACACACAAAAAAATACATACTCTGATAGAAGCATTATTATTGTCTTGCTATTTCATTCAAACTATTTCAGATTTTTCATATTTAAACCAAATTTGATTTAACAAATTACAAATATACTAAAATTTGCATTAAAGCATTTTTAAAATAATTTTTGTTACATATAATTTAACTGTCTTCTACCTACTTTTAAATTTTTCCACCTTTTAACTTCAGACAGCCATCATTTAGATAACTAATTAACACCTCACAGAGGTATTTTAAAATCCTTTCGTATATTTAAAAAATATAATAATTACTTAAATCAATGTACTGCTTACAGAAGGCAGACTCTAATTTATTCTCCCATTTCTTTTCTACATTCCTCAACCTTACTTAGTCTTTTGGTTTCTTATCTGCGAAGTTTGAAGTTAAAGCATCTGTTTAATAAGCAACTAGGAAATCCTGACAAGCAGAACATTTTTCCCATTTAATCTAAAAATCTGAAGATTAAATTAAATGCTGGAAATTATGTTTTTCACTAGACCTTCTTCCTGTACTTTTCCTTTGAGGTGCTGAAACATGACTAAGTGACCCATTTTGTGAATCTTCCTCTCCATAATCGTCCACAGCAGTACTGTGCAAAGGGTGATCTATGAAGAACAGAAAATAAGCTGCATGAAAGTTGTTCTCATTTGTTCAGGCAAAGAGCATGGGCATGTTAGCACTGCCTGCCATTAAGCATTTAGTTAGAATATTTGTGGCTTGCTCACTAACACTCTTGTTAAAAGTATTATTTGAGGACTAGGAAAATATACATAGTGAAAAGCTTCATAGTTTCTATACTCATCCACCTGCTATCTCTCTACAAATCAAAAGCAAAGGTGCTGGAAAGCTTAGCACATATGTATGGCATACAGCAAGCAAAACATTTTGTGCATTTAAAGTCTCTCTTTGCTATGGCGTACATCTTCTATACATTTAAACAAGTACTTTCTAAATTTTACATTTTCATTTTAATATTGATTTTAGCTGCTTTATTGGATGCTATAAGAAGGCAGTTGCAGCTGCTACACAATGTCTGTAAATGTAGAATTCTTGAAGGTAGCTACCAAAATAGATTAGAACTCAACTTTAAGGTTTTAGCATGCCTTCTACAGTATAGATCTCTTCTTTCAAGCACATTACCACAAAAATTTAGTGTTAGCTTACATTTGTGTTAGTGGGCATCCTTTTCAAAGTTTTAATACATACCACAGAGATAAGGAAAAGAGCTTTTCATTTTCCTTATGACCACCTTTCCCTTATGACAACCCTTTTGCTCTATTGTTCTTGATAGCTTATTTTCAATGCTGTTTCTAGTAGTTACATGTATATTTCCATAATTTTCTTAGAATAGTAGCTATTATTAAGCAGCTCTTAGCATTTTCTCTACAACTTCTAATTACACAGTTTTTCAAATATTTTGCTTAGGGGCATTGACATACAAGAGCTATATATATTGGTAACAGAGGACTTCACACAAAGGTACCTATTCTATCTAAACTGATTCTCTTCGGACATTCTGAGGCCTCACTCCACATGTCCCATACAAAGCATGAAAATGGTTTTAACGCTTCATCCAAACCAGTATGTGTTTATGAAGTTACTTTTTAAAGTAACATTTGAAAGTGGTAGAACAACATCCCTGTGAAGGTCTAAGTTTGCTGCCATGAATATTCTTACAGTAGGAAAAATTTCACTTCATAATTTGTGTAATTTAACGGAGAATAACTTAAGATACTGAACTTCCATTTCAAAATGTAAATTCTTATGCAACTGCAATGTCATATTGTGTGAGATTCTACTGTTCAGACTATAAAACTTGAATAGTCAGTATTTTTCCACTGATTTTTACTTGCACATGTTACAGCCTTAGTCTCACTACTTCCTAAGTGACAGAACATAATACTGCTCTCAAAAAACCCTCCATCTCTCCCATCCATAACTTCATCCGGCAAAGAAACAATACTTTCTTCTAAGTAAGCATTCAAATATTTTGCCCATATGGGTTGCTCATGAAAAATCATACATTAAATGACAATCAAGTTAATACTAACCAAATGAATCCTCAAGCTCAAGTTGATTTGTTTCCGCTACCTTCAATATCCTTGAGACATCTGGTTCTTCAGGTGAAAATAATTTCCGAGGCTGGGAGTTAGCTTTGTGTTCCTGGAAAGGTATGAAATTAACTGGTAGTTCATCCAGCTTTTTCAGTGCAAAACAAATTAAATATAACGATGAATTTCAAGAACATTTGATTAGAAATATATTTAACAAGGATTGTATTGACTACTGAGCTATAATATAAATAAAGCATTTAAAGCATGTGTTTTTTCCTTAGGGTATGGGGGGTTTTCCCCTAAGAGAAGTGATGGAATAAAACTGATATATTCTGATACTTGATACTCTACTGTAGTTTTATAAAATGACATAGCTCACACTAAGTACATAAGCTTGTAAGTCTTATAACAGTCTCATAATAAGAGCACAGAAAAACAATAAAACACTTGCTGCTTTAGTTCTGTTCAACCCAACAAAACTTACCTTTAATTTATTTCTAGAATGACTTCCTTTCATTTTCTTCTTTGAGGACATTTCGCTAGTCAGTATGTGCTGCTAAATATACAACTGAGAATAAAGGTACCGAAAAATCGTCCCCGATACAAATCTGCTTTTTCTGTCTCAATACCTGAGGGAGAACGGGAAATCTCTGTTAATTCACCGTATTAACTCACTTTAAAAGTTGTAAAACTTACTTTGTTTGACCAGCCCGACGCCTGGCATCGCACACAGAAGTTAGTAACAAGGCATTCAAATGAAAAAGACGATGCAAGACAGCGCAAAGCGCTATTTACACCTTTCCTTTCGCTTCACCGCTGCCGCTTCCCTCAGGCAGGAGCCCCCAGGCCCGCCTCCCCGAGCGCCAGGAGCCCGCAGGCGGGGCCCGCTGCCTCGACAGCAAAAAGGCAGCGGGC